CTTGACGTGTGAACATGTCCTTACTGACTGACTGTTACTCCTTGACTAGTATCAGTTACTGGTTTACTAATTATCTTCTCGGACAACTCATTACTGATTGGGAGATACCAGTATCCCTTCATACTGGAAATACCGGGCTGACCAGTATCACCTGTGACAGACCACTAGTATTGCTCATGGCCCCCCAGCCAGTCTACCTTCCTCTACAGCCAGATGATGTGACTCATGTCCCCCCTGACAACACCAAAGTATATATCTCACCACAACAAGTTACAGTAATATTCCATAAGAAGGACGGCTAGTGGCGAATGTTCCTCGAGGAGGGCGGCTAGTGGCGAATGTTCCTCGAGGAGGACGGCTAGTGGCGAATGTTCCTCGAGGAGGACGGCTAGTGGCGAATGTTCCTCGAGGAGGACGGCTAGTGGCGAATGTTCCTCGAGGAGGACGGGTAGTTATAGATATCGCACAGGAACAACATCTAGTCACTAACATCACACAAGAAGGACATGTTTTATCCTGCGAGGACAGCCAGTCACCAATATCACACAAGAACATCAGCTAGTCACTAGTATCCCTCTGTGGACGGGTCTTGTCATTGACCGTCATCTCCCTCCATTCCATGGCGTTGCGTCATTTTCATTTCTCTCCATGTGTCTCCTATAGATAAGACGGAGTCATGTGATCCTGCTACAGTCGGCAAACTCCTATGGACTTTTTTGTTCTTAGTAAACTCTGTGAATGACGTGAGCCTCGTGTCTCACATCAAACCTCTCCTCGTTTTATACATTGAACATCTATCTACTGCCAATCATTTTTTTCTTTGGACATAGTGACTCTCAACCAAACTTTCAAGCCCTCCAATGGCTGGTTTCGTAGCTGATCACCTGTGCAGCACCACGGCAACTGGAATCGGAATATAGGCCAAGCTGGCGCCTTCCTTGGCTGTAAAGCAATACCGTGTTTCCCCGAAACTAAGACCTAGCGCTATCTTCAGGGATTTCTGTAATATAAGACCTACCCCGAAAATAAGACCTAGATCGGTGGTAGGTCTTATATTACAGAAATCCCTGATAGCGCTAGGTCTTATTTTCGGGGTAGCTGCACCGTATAATTAAATTTTACATGTGACGGCCGCAGCTCCCTCCCGCCGCCCACCTGTCTGGCTCCCTGACCGGCAATAGAGCTGAGAACGGCCGCAGCTCCCTCCCGCACACCCACCCCGCACGCCCACCTTCCTGGCTCCCTGGACGGCATTAGAGCTGCAGCCAGGTACACATAAGACATCCCCCGAAAATAAGACCTAGTGTCCTTTTTCGTGGAAAAAAATATATAAGACACTGTCTTATTTTCGGGGAAGGGTGTAGTTTGGCTTTATAGGGTCACTCCAATGAAAAATTCTCTTTTGCAGGTTTCCCCTGAATTAGCCCCATTACCAATAATCCTATTTATACATTTCCCGGTGTTCCTGCCGTTTCCCAGCTCATCCGCTAATTCTGGTGCAGGTCAGACGACGCTATTGGTCTGCTGGTCAGATGACTCTTTCCCCAGGCGTTGTCAGCTCCTGGAAGCTGCGCTGCAATTGCCCTTTATACTGAACCACATGGGACCGCTAAGTGTTTTAGGGCTTGTTCACACCATATGCAGTGCGTTCCGGTCCAGGCCGGAACGCACTGCATTGCAGCCGGCTCACTCTTTTGCCGGGCATGAGGGGGCGTGGCTACTGACGGTGAATGGCGCTGTAGCCACGCCCTCCGGCCGCAATGCGATCGCCCGCACGGGTTCGCAGCGCACATTGTGCCTGCGGTCCGGTCAAAATGCTGCAAGCACTATGCGGTCGCGATGCAGTGCCAGAACGTGGCTGGAGCGCACTGCATATGGTGTGCACAGGCCCTCACAGTGTAGCTCTTTCATCACTGCCGGAAGTGACGCGCGGTTCCAAGGCAACAAGAATGCCAGCTCCTACACCATTACATCGGATGTGCAGCTCACATAGGGTCGGGCGCGGCCTGCGCTTTATACACGCCTAGTTCATCATGCGTTCAGAAGACGCCAGGAACCAAGGACGATTTGCGAGCTGTGTCTGCGCTGTAAATGTTTGGGTGTCATTTGGTTCGGAGCTCGCGTTCTGTTGACTGGGGAACACAATGCATATGTCTCCTCGGGCTGTGACGGTAAAGGTTCTCTATTAAATGCCCAATCGCACACTGATAGATATACAGGGGGAATTGCAGTCATGTGACCATGTGGAAAATCATTTTTAAAGATAATGGAGCAATGGACCGCTTTACATCTTCTATGCTCTAAAGCAATTTTCTGACGCATTATTTGCTGTCGGCGACACAGAGCGATGTGTATTATCAGCGCCAGTACAGCCATGACAGCGTGTGTCACTATAGTATCATGATCGCTGTAATGGTATCACTCCGGGGATTACGGCTGAGCTCCGGTGTTAGGAGGTTAAACGTTGAGGTGAAGACTTCGATAAGTAACTTAGCGTCCGGTTTTTGGGAGTGTGATAAAAGTGCTAAGATAACACCTGCAGTAGTGCCAGAGACAGTCGTTAGTGTAACTTAAATATCTGCTGGTGAAACTCGTACAAAACATGCAAATCATATTTATAGGGAAATTTAGTGTGTGTGTGTGTGTTTATGTAAATGCCCATTTATCCAGCACCCACGGGGATCGGTAGGTGCCAGATAACTGTAGTTTCTGCTTGCTTGAGGGTTAATAGTGTCTTTCAAGCGACCACCCTGCGGCGCACGCACCCCAGTAAACTGCAGGTGAATGGAAGCAGCCGGGAGCAAGAGCCAGCCTACTATTGGCTATTTCAAATTGCAATGTCAGGCTGGCTATTGAAGGCCTACCCACTGAGCAGAGGAGTGGCCATGAGAGGCCAAGTTCTCTCTCGGGTCTGCTCAGTGGGCAGGAACAATAGCCAGCCTGCATTTGGCTATTGGAATGTATTATTATTTATATGGCGCCGACAATTTTTGCATTGCTTTACATAGTTGCACATTCACATCAGTCCCTGCCCTAAAGGAGCTTACAATCTAAGGTCCCTATCTCGCATGCATGCGTACAAGGGTCAATGTACCTTCCAGTATGTCTTTGGCGTGTGGGAGGAAAGCGGAGTACACGTGGAAGCACAGGGAAAATTTGCAAACTCCTTGCAGATAGTGTCCTGGCTTGGATTGGAACCAGGGACCCCCAGTGCTAGAAGGCAGAAGCACTAACCACTAAGCCACTGTGCTGCAGGCTGGCTATTGAAATCCCACCTAGTGAGCAAAAGAGCGGCCCTGAGAAAGTTCTCTCTCGGGTCCACTCCTCTGCTCAGTACAATAGCCAGCCTGCTATATAGAAGGTTGGCAATTTCTCCCCATTGTTTACATTCTGCTGCCGACCGCGGAATCTAGGCGCCGGCGACCGCAAAAACTTTTCTTTTGTGTTTCACGCTTGGTCATAGACTTTTGTCTGCATGAAGCATATAAGAAGTTCTCTGGATGTTGTTCTGGAATGCTTAATACACTATAAAAAAAAGAACCTGCATAGTATACTTAGGAGTGCCGCTATCCTTTCTTTTGTTGAAACAGGAAGTTATCAGCTGACAGGATTTCCATCAGAATCAACATGCATTGGGGTGAATTGATCAAAACTGGAGCAGACAAAATCTGGAACAGATTTGCACTGCAGCCAATCGGCTTCTCTGTCTCATTTTCAAATCTTACCTGAGCAAACTGAAGAGAGATGCTGATTGGTTACCATGGGCAACTGCTCCAGATTCTCTCTGCTCCAGTTTTGATACATTCCCCTCATTCCCTTTTAGTTATAGAGGTTTATTTAGGGCATGCAGATATGGTGGGGCAGCTTTTATACATTTTCCAGACACGAATTGTACCCCCGTAATCTTAACACCGTCTCGTTCCTCTTCAGATGAAGACGTCCACGTATCCGAAGACTTGCACAAGAAGGTGAGAATCCTGTGCTGGGTTATGACCGGACCTCAAAACCTGGACAAGAAGACCAAACACGTGAAGGCCACCTGGGCCCAGCGGTGCAACAAAGTCTTGTACATGAGCTCAGAGGAAAACAAAGACTTCCCCACGGTGGGGCTGGACACAAAGGAGGGCCGAGACCAGCTTTATTGGAAAACCATCAAGGCCTTCCAGTACGTCCACGACCACCACCTGGACGAAGCCGACTGGTTCATGAAAGCCGACGACGACACTTATGTCATAGTGGACAACTTGCGTTGGATTTTGTCCAAGCATAGTCCAGACGACCCCATATACTTTGGAAGGCGGTTTAAGCCGTACGTGAAGCAGGGTTACATGAGCGGTGGGGCTGGGTACGTGCTCAGTAAAGAGGCCTTGAAGAGGTTTGTGAACGCCTTCAAGGAAGAAAAATGCACCCACAGCTCCTCGGTGGAAGATTTGGCGCTCGGGAAATGTATGGAGAACATTCACGTCAAAGCCGGAGATTCCAGAGACACCAGCGGGAAGGAGACCTTTCACCCCTTTGTTCCTGAACATCATCTTATCCAGGGCTACTTGCCGAGGACTTTTTGGTACTGGAATTACAATTATTACCCTGCCATAGAGGTGAGTCTCTTAAGTTGTTTACGGTTTTATTGGTATTGTACCAAGAAATTCTGGCCAGCTCGTAAAACATATCCGTACAAGAGTGCCGAGGTGCCCTCTGTCCTTCCAGCACATTACCATTTGCAGCCAGCTAGAGGCAAGCTCTGTGCAACATTAGGAGCTCCCTACATATGCTAAAACCTTGGTTCTCAACTGGTGGGTCGCGACCCCGTGTTCATTGGGTCGCCATGTGACTTTCCACTTTTCTAGGTGAGAGTCTCTTTGCTGCACTAGTAGGAGGCTATGTCAGTTCTCACACAGAGCAGCCATTCAGAATATGCTGCCTGGCGTTGAGTCAGCTTAAGGTGGGGTGGGCTGGAGCTAGGGCCACAAGAGAGCTCCGTCCATGCATTGGTTACAGTTCCCTCAAGTGCCCTGTAGAGGTGCCTGGACCGGAGTGACATCACATTCTGGCTCCCAGAACCTCTACATGGGAAGGAGCTCCGTCACAGCCCAGCACTGGACCCCTGGCTGAGGTTCAACTCCAGTTCTCGTAATGGCACCCCAAACACACCTTCTGCCCACAGTTGAAAAAATTTGTGTAACACTCGGTTGTAGATCCTCCAATCATCTCTGAATTGGTGCCGACACTGTCCTTCCTTCTGGAGGGGGGCTACTTACGTTCCCCATGGTCCCTGTGTGTGTTGTAAGGCCTCACTCACACCGATTGTGGCCGGAACCCACTGGATTGCATTGCGGCCAGCTAAGTTTGTTGTGTGGCGGAAGGCACATCAATGCCTGCGGTCCGGTCAAGGCAGAAAAAATGCTCCAAGCACTATTATTTCTGACCGGACCGCAGGCATTGCCGTGCCTTGCGTTCCTGTGCAGATGATCGCATTGCGGCCGGAGGGCGTGACTGCGGTGCCATTCACTTCAATGCACCGCCCCTAACCCC